TCATAAAAAAAAAAAAAAAAACTTCCTCTATTACTGTTCCCCACAAATTTAAAAATAAAAGGAAAAAAGTAATAGTAATAATAATAATAAATTCGCCTGGCTGCCGTGTGGCCACACCGAACTGTCTGTATGTATTTTGCCCGCAAAATAAAATTAAAAAAATGGTTGCATGCCTTTCAACCGTCTGACCCTCCGTGTGTCCGCACATCGTTTATATTTCACGGGGTCATCTGCGTGTTGCTGCTCCCCTCAGCCCTTTCAGCGGCGCGTGAGTGCGGCCCGCAGAGCGCAGTCACTCGTGTGTGGGGGGACTGAGAGAAGCACGCAGACATGACGGGAGTCGCGTCACTCCATCGGGAGAGTGAGCGCAGCGAAAGAAAAAATCATCGGGGGAGAGAAATGCTGAAGGCACTGCCAGCGCGAGAAATAAACAAAAAAAGCAAAAAAAACACGGCGGCAGGGCGTGGCTGTGTGTGTGGCGCTGCGGGTGTCTGCCAGCCCTGGCCGCAAATAAAACAAAACAAGAGGGAAGAAATGTGTGCTCCGCCCCACAGGCCCTCGCCGCACGCCCACACGTCACGGCTCCCTCAGCGCGCCGTTCGTCGCGGCCCCTCCTCATGCGTGCAGCAGGCGAGGCGCACAGGGCCGTTGTCGTGAGCGTGTCGGTGGGTGTGCGAGTGGAGCAGTTGGGCGGAAACACACGGCACCCCTCGCAGGAAGAGTGCAGCAACAAACAATTAAAAAGCAGAAAGGAAAAAACGTCCATAGTGACTGCCCCCAAAAGCAAAAGAGAATTTATGGGGATTATGAGATAAAAAAAAGCAAACAGAAAAATTGAAAAAAAGAAGTGAAACATTAAAAAGAGTACTGAAAAGCAAAAAAAAATGAAAATCACAAACACATAAAAGAAAAGGAAAAAAGGTTATCTGAGGTGAGAAAATAGTTTCCCAGGAGAAGTAATAATGTGCGGAGGAGATCACAAGTGTCCCACGCGGCAGCCAGTCACTCCTCACAGAGCCGAAACCACCCACAATCCCAACAGCAGAAGAAGCAGCGATGGCAGCAGCCCGCTCTCACGCACAGTGCCAGCATCGCTGTTATTCCCCTGCGACACATTTACGAGGCTGCTGCTGAGTGCCGTAGCATTGACTTCCCTGACCCGTGAATGGACCTCTCCCTGCGCATCCGTTCTTCCCGCCGTCTCCCCACTCTCACCGGAGCTCACGTGCGCCCCAGTTGTCACTGCGGGGTCAAATTGCCACACGGTTTCAGCGGTAGGAGCGTTTGCGTCTGCTGTGGCGGGAGTGCCCGCAGAAGTTTGAGTTGGTCTGTCTCCCGGCACCGCATCTCCAGCTTCCGCTCCCACCGTTGGATCACCATCGGGTGAAGAAACGACATCCACGTTTTCACTTCCACCGGGAGATGTTCGCAACGCCAACTGCTTTACAGAACCCTCCCCTGCCGACGGAGTGGCGGTGGAAACTGCTGACGTGGATACACCGCCACTGCCCACACCCCCATCTTCATTCGACGATTCATGCCCCAACGGCGGTTGCCCGTCAGAAGGAGATTGCAACAATGTTCCTTGCGCACTTCCACCTACCGGAGGTGGAATGTCGACTTTATTTGGGTTGAGGGCGCCAACCTCCGCAGCACTCAACGGGCGGTTGTACAGCAGGACGTTCGTCACGGTCACGGACACTTCTTCTTGGCTTCCTGCGTCGTCTCCACCCACTCCAATGTAGAAGTGCGCGATCTCTTTCGATTCCGTATTTTTCAGTGAGCACGTTTCGTCCCCCACGCGCTCACCATCGACGTACGCGGTGCTCTGGTTGCCGTTCTGCAGCACAATGGCCAATTGGTGTGTTTTCCCTGGCTCCCAAGGGCTGCTGGGCTCATTAGACATTTCCTCACCACACAGTAGCATCCATTTCTTTTCTTTGTTGCTGTACGACAGTCCCAGGAGCACAGTCTTCCCATTATCATCCATCTTCACGCCCATCAAAGAAATGGGGGTATTTCCCTCCTCCGGCACCTTGTCGATGGACACCGTCGCCACAAGAGTAAAGTTGTGGTTCGCAAAGTGGTACAGCTGATTCTCCCCCTGACTGCCAACAGGCCACTCCGCCCCTGCGCCACGCCTTGTAAACTTCACGCCACTATCCACCTGCTCCGCCCCTTCTTTCTTCTTCACTGTGGCGTTCACCCCGAGGTACTCGTCCCTCCATGTGCCATCAGAGAAGTTGCCGGACAAAAAGCCAACCAGCCCATCCGTGATCTTAAAAGCGCCGCAGGTACCGCTAGTTGAGGCACGCTCCGCATCACTTTTAGACGGGCACAGCTGGGAGAGACGCTTGTCCACTTCCTTCCAGGTCGCCAGCACATCCTTCACCCGCTGCAGCTGATCAGCCAGACGCACAGACCAAAGGCTGTTTGATGGTTTCCCCCCACTGCCCTTCTTTTCGTACAGTGCAACCAACTCATCATTAGTTCCACTTCCAGCACTTTTGTACAACAGGGAGCTGGCAGCAGCGTCATCGTCCTTCCCGGATACTTGCCCAATATCAACAATGTGCGTATTGTCCGTCAGCCAAAGATGGAGTTCACCCTTTTCCACATTTTCCTTGGAATACACCGGCAGAGCAACGAGCATCACAGTTCCCTTATCACTATCGACACCGTCAATCGTCGCTGTTATGAACCCGCTCCTAACGCCCTTCTCATTTCCCTTTTTGTTGCCCCACACGCGCGAGAGTGTCCCAAGTGCCTCCGTCCACGACTCCCCCTTGTCACCGGACTCGTACACCCTGCGGCGGCCATCACCACACGCAGTCATCATGATGAGTTTTTTGTCCTTCCACTCCACGACGGAGGGAACACTGCAGCCACCGTCAGTCATCCCCTTCGACAGCGTCCAACTCGCAGTACTCAAGGTGTATATGATCAGTGAAACGGTTTTTCCATCCTCTTCAGTGCCCTCATTCTCCTTATTCTTTGTACCTTCCACTGGGAACACAAGCGTATCGTCCTCCATCTTAACACCCGATCCACCGCCGCCAATCAGTCCTGTTAAAAATTCGTGTTGCTCGCATAAATGTGTCTGCGGGGGACTTTTGGTATCGCTCCACTGGATTCCTTTGCCACCGCCACTTTCTTCACCACCGACTTCCCCTTTCACCAGCAAAAATCCACAGTCAACTGCATCTCTCTCCTGAACACCAGTGGCAGCTTTCCGGCCGTATTTTCCAACAAGCATGTAAATATCATTTCCCTTCACAACTGTTGTTGGTCGGCTCACATCTACTTTCTTCACCTCTGTGGAAGTGCCTTCCTCCAGTAATTGTGTCTTAGCTTTGGGATCCGTCAGCGCTTCCGCCGGCTTGTCAGTAGTTTCCATCGTGAGAAGTTGGGACGAAATGCCAAAAAACAAGTTATCTTTACCTTCCTTCGTCTCTTTGCACTGCGCCTCGGCAACGACAAATACGTCACTCCCCACTTTTAGAAGGCCAGAAGCGCCCAACGACTCCACAGTTACACCACTACCCTCATCCTTGATGTTCTTCCATTCAAACTTTGTTTCGGATGGCTTCCCCGCAGCTTCCGCAGTCACAGTCCCACTGCCACCGCAAACAATGACAACAAGTAGGAGCAGCACCGCGGAACACAAGTGATGTCGGGACGTGTTGGGCCTCTGCCGCTCACTCTCTCTTCCTTCCCTCCTCCTTCCGCTGGATCCGGTCACGCGGCGACGGTTGTGTGTGCGGGGTGCCTTCACTGCAACAACACGTGAGAGCATACAAATATGTGTGTGGGCGGTGTGTGCTGTTGTTGGTTCTTTCAGTGCCTTACAATTTCACAGTGGCGAGTAGCGCTTGTTTGCTTTCTTTCCTAGCGTGTCTGTGTTCAAGAGGTAGAGGGAAAAGGGAAAGCAAGCCAAGTAAAGAGATGAGACAGCGAGCACCGCCACTCCGCACCGGCCATCGCGGCAAGTCACGGCGGGCCGTCGGTGTGGGCGGGCCAGCCCTCACGCCGTGCAACACGCCACACCCAACAGGGAATGACAGAGAGGTGAAGAGAGAGAGGGAAATGGACGCCGTCAGGAGGCACTCACAATCAACATGGCCCGTGAGCATGCGGCCACTCCACGCAGGAACACAGGAGGAGAGGGTGGGGGGAAAAAAGCAAGAAGCACACAAACAAACGGCAGACGGGAAAAGCACCGCCACGGCCTCGCCCCGGCCGGAAACTCCACACCAGCCCTCCCACACACACCATCGCAGTGCTGCCAGTCCGTGGGTGAGAAGATTCGGCCCTCCACACAACAATATCGCACACACCGCCAGCAGTCAACCACCGTGGACAAGAACGGGAAGAGACACACCGCCACCGCCTCCAGTTCAGTCCCACGGCCAACGGGATACAGCCACAGCCCACTGCCAACACACAACGCACACGGAGCGAGTAATCTCCCATCCACCCACACGCGGAAGAGGAGTCCTCACCCATCCATGACGCGGCGCCTCACTCCATGCGGTCACACGCAGCGCACCATTTCCCCAATAGAACTTATTCGCCCTCCATCCCTTAAAGCTGCTTCTATTCGTGATGGGCCTTAGAGCACAATAGAAGAAAATGGACAATGCAGTAGTACTGCGACACCGCCAGCCACAATGCTTTTTTCATACCGGGGCAATTCTCCAATTGTGCCTCGTATAACACACACACAACTAACATATCATGTAGAAATCACCCAATGTTTTTCACCAGAAACCAAACAACCCCTTTCTCTCCCTAATTTCTTCTGCCACTGTTATTTTCGATAGCGTTGGACACTTTGACATTTGTGTGCGGTGTTGCCGTATGGGGCTGGTGTACCCGCACCGCATGCACACAAAAAAGTATCACAAAACATATATAACCCCCACAATATTTCTTTACCAAAAAACAAAATTGCCCCTTTCCCTAATTTATTCTTACCATTTCGGTGGTTCTTCCCCATTTCAGAGAGCTTCGTTCCTTCTGGCATCGTCCGACGATATTGCTGCTATGTACTGGCGCACCTCTTCCTCCCAGAACGCCGCAATCTCTCGGTTTTCAGCGCGGCTCACATTATTGGAGTCGACGACATCACATCCCTGCCAGTCAGTCATCGGCGTGCTGTCTGCGTGCTGCACATAAATCATCTCCCACGACAGGTCTCGGGATAACTCCTCCCAAC